AAAAATCCCTAAATATGCAAAATTAAATTAAATGCATCTGATTCTATGTCGCACAAAATGAATTTATAACTTGGTCTACAATGTGCACGACTAAAAGAAAAAATATAAAAAAGTCATAAACATCTTAACCATTGTAATTACCCTGTGACCTACTCGAGGTGGTGTTGCATAGCAAGTCGAGGGATATTTTCGATTTGCGGAGCGGAGCGACGGCGCCGAGGAGCGTAGCGTCGAGTGCCGCAAATCGTGTGATCACTGTTCATTCTACGACATAACTTTGATTAGCTATAACTAGGTAAATCGACGTTTTAAAAATGATGGTGCCATAAATATATATAAATATATTTGTGTAACAGATATTCTCAGTTACGGGATAACTAGGTGGATAACGGATAACTTATTATTAAAAGAACATCAAAAGATATTAAGATAAAAATTGTAGGTCATAAACTCATAATGAGTCTGATGAGAGTAGTTTTGTTACAGACGATGAATAAAATTATATTATGTAAAAAAAAAAATAATAATAACAGTTTAATTATATGCATTTTAAAAGTTTAATTATTTCAAAACTAATTGTAATAAACATAAGCCCCCCTTTWAAAAAAAAAAAAATAAGTTCAAAAAATTCAAAATTTAGGAATTTTCGAATTTCAAATCGTTATAACTCAAAAACTAAGTGTTAGCGCAATTTTTTTTTGGCACCATCATTTTTAAAACGTCGATTTACCWAGGTTTCGAAAAAAAAAAATTGAAAAAATCACATGGTAGCTAAACTGCAATTGTTCCGGCAATGATATCATTTCCTTCCGCTATTAGGAATTGTCATCATTTCCTAAATGTCAACATTTCTGGTAACATATAATACTGGTTAAAAATTAAATTAAACGTATTGATTATTATTGACTATTGTAACACGTACTTAGAAATGGAAGTTGAAACTATCTTCTTTCAAAATCGTTTTAAGTGAAGATAAAATAATAAACTATCGAATTCAGGGCATCCATTACATATTTACATCCTACACACTGACAAGGTACACCAAAAAACTTGATTTCCCTTTCGACTTTCCCTGCTTTACAAAATTATTTAATGTTTGATAAATTACAACTTTGCTTTAATTTAAGGTTTGTTTACAGCAGACATCATGTCGTAATATCGATTTATTTAATAATTCAGTTATTATTCAATTTGTCCAAGTCAATTCAAACCCTAGAACTTTACGTTGGACTTTGCAGCGGAGGGGTAGGGTTTAAATATTATAATATTAGGTACTAAATTTTATAAAGTATCGATGAAAAAAAATTTAATTTATGCAGGTTAGGTGGGGGTGTAATACGGCAGTATGCCAGTATGCCTAGATGTACAACACTATATTTTAAACCTAGCCCGACATAAGTACCTACCTATTTAGTTGTTAAAATATATTGTTATTTTACAATCTGGATATTGTGTCGTCATTATTTTTGCCTGCGTATTTTATGCTTAGCAAGCTCGGAAATACATCACCCGGGTAGCAAATTGACCCAACAATAAATATTAATCTAACTTTAAAAAGTAAAATATGTAAGCCCCAAAAGAATATAAYATAATCTATTAATCTTACGTATAAATCGACTCTTCGGGTTAAAAGTAGCTGAGCTATTTGTAATAGAGTTCATATCAAGGAACTGCTCTCCTCTTCATCTGTCTTCATTTTACTCTGGACTGAAAGTATCAAATTATTTTATGAAAATAATTAGAGTAGAATGAAGTATGGAATTAAAAAAATTGTGAATCGTCCCCGACAAATGCCGAGTGACGACGATTGACGTTTGCCATAGATAATTTAGATATACGTACTACCTATAATACATCGTCATCGATTTTCAAGTTTATCACTTTTTTGGATGACAAGATTGAAGATACATTTTTATTTCATTTTTCGAAACGGATTATTATTAGGAATATAAATATTATATTATAATAGTACTTATATTATACATCTCAATTCTCAATTCGGAACTCTGCGTGTAGGCTATTAATTAGCTGAAATTAATGTAATAATGTATTAATGTCACAAGTGTATAACTTTTTCATTACGYACGCGTCGTGTTAATGAGAGACCATTATTTCTTGAAATCWACTCTTACTATTTTTTATTTAAAACAGCCGATTTGCTATTTGCTATTTGCTATTTGCCCGGTAAAAATATTCTGAAAGCCAATAGTGGCTGCACTGTGCAATAGTGACTAGCGATAATTTCGTTTGGCCGTTATCATCAATAGATTTGGGCGATTTGGCGTGATGGTCACAAGTGACGAGCACATTTAGAAGTTCTTCACAGTTCTCACGTTTCTAAAATTAAGGGTTTTGAACGTCGTCACGTTCGCTAGTAAACAAAGGCGATTTACAATAGTTAACAGAGTGAATCGTTCGCGTTGTGCTTCATGACAAAGTAGTACAATTGTCGAATTACAACGGTGATAATTATTTCCTTGAACACAGCAACAGAAACTTCTCGCGGAGCGATATGCCGTTATTCACTGGTGAGTAAAACGACTATTCGGTTCTAAAGTCCATAATGGTTAATTCAATATATATTTCTGGTTCAGTGAAGGTAAAATGGGGGAAAGAAGTATACCCAGATGTGGAGGTAAACACGGACGAGCCGCCCCTTGTTTTCAAAGCTCAACTGTTCGCCCTAACTGGTGTCAATCCCAACCGCCAAAAAGTAATGATGAAAGGCGGCACCCTCAAAGACGAWTCATGGGRCAACATACAGATAGTTGAGGGCCAGAATATACTGATGATGGGCAGCAAGGACGAGGATGTACCCATTGAACCCACTGTCAAACCAGTGTTTGTTGAAGACATGACCGAGACGCAATTGGCTACAGTTGTAAGTCATTGCTCTTTAAAATGTCAACATTATCATAGGTATTAAAACTGTTAAATTTAATTCACCTTTAGACCAATATGCCTGCGGGTCTTACCAATTTGGGTAACACTTGTTATTTGAATGCTACAGTTCAGTGCCTTAAGACTGTACCTGAATTACGACAAGCCCTGGCCGATTWTAATGCAGCATGTGAGTATATAGAAAAGTTTTCTTATTTATATTTTATACATGTTCCTAATCTATTTCAGCATCTTCATCTCTATCTAATTTTGCACCAGCAGAGAAAATCACAATTGCAATGAGTGATTTATATAGAACCATGGAATCTAATCAAACAATCCCCCCTCTTGTACTTTTACAAGTATTACATCAAGCATTCCCCAGATTTGCAGACAAAGTAGAAGGACATTATATGCAACAGGTAAAAAAATATTCATTCTGCTACATCATTTTGATTGTTAATCAATTATTTGAATTACTTATTCAATTATATTGGTAAAATAWAAACATTTCAAATTCTTTAGGATGCTAATGAATGCTGGGTAGAACTTGTTCGTATGTTACAACAAAAGTTACCAGCGTTGAAAAATAAAAATAATGATAGGTCGACTACTAATTACAAGTAAGGTTATTTATTCTTTTAAAGAGTGAATACATTATTAAATACAATAATTTTAATGTTTATAGATCTGCAATAGATCAATTTTTTGGTGGGTCATTTGATGTTGAATGGAAATGTGTAGAAAGTGATACTGAAGTAGTAACCAAAACTACAGAATCATTTCTGCAGTTAAGTTGTTTTATATCTCAAGATGTCAAGTATATGCATTCTGGTTTGAAAAATGTAAGTATTATTATTGGAGTTATTTAAATTTTACACGTTTAATATTACTATACCCTATTATAGAGAATGCAAGAACACATCACCAAACACTCTCCTATCCTTGGCAAAGATGCTGTTTATACAAAGACAGTAAGTTTATAATGTATAATATATTAATTTACTTTTGCATATTTCAATAATTAATATTAGTTTACTTCAATTTAGTCAAAAATCAATAGACTGCCAGCATATCTGACTATTCAGTTTGTGCGATTCTTTTATAAAGAAAAAGATAAAATTAATGCAAAAATCTTAAAGGATATTAAATTTCCAATTGAGTTTGATGCATTTGACTTGTGTACCCCAGAACTACAAGGGAAACTTGAACCAGTTAGAAGCAAATTCAAGGTAAAACTATTTCACTTTTATTTATAGAATGATTTTTTTTTTTGTAGTGCCTACACAGTCATTTCAAAAAAAAAAAAAGTAACTTGCTATACTTTTTTGATTTTGGCATGTAGAATTCAAGTTATTGTCAAAATATACAATTTTTTTCTCTTAAAACTCAAAATAGTTTATGTCTAGGTATTTAATACCAGAATATAATTATCAAGTATTKTATAATGTATTAACTTGCATCGTGAATACTGAATTTCTAGTAATATAATTCCAAAAATTCTCAAATTTAAAAGTTAATTTTAATTATTTTCAAGTAGATTTTTTGTGCTGTGTGTACAGAGTACACTTTTAATGTACTACAATATTTTGAAACTTAGCCTATATTATTTTCATTTAATTAATATTATTGCATTATTTATAAAATAAAGGAGTTAGAAGACAAATTGGCTCATGAAAGTGTTAAGCCAACTGCTAAACAGCTGGCAGAATCAAAACAAGAAGAAAAAGCTACAGCCCCATATTGGTTTGAAAATGGTATCATGATAAGCTTATAAATTATAATTCATGATATATGTCTGTTCCTTAACTATTGCTTTAATTTTTTGTATAGATTACGGTTCAAATAACTCTGGTTACTACTCCCTTCAGGCTGTCTTAACACATAAAGGTAGATCAAGCTCTAGTGGTCATTATGTTGGATGGGTTAGACAGTCTCCAACATCTGAAAAATGGATCAAATGTGATGATGATACAGTAACCCCAGTGACAACTGAAGATATCCTTAAATTGTCTGGCGGAGGTAATTAAATATCTTTGTCTGAGTAATATTTTAACACGGATTTTTAATATATACTTTTGGCAGGTGATTGGCATTGCGCATATGTTCTTCTTTATGGTCCAAAACTCTTACCAATGGACACTTCATCAGTATCTAGCTGATCCTGTCAACAATTAGTTTTCTTTTATTATGAAAAAAAAAGAAAAAGTAAAAATATTTCTTGTAAAAATTGTATTTTAAAAAAAAAAGAAAATGAGTTTTTAAAGGAATATGTATATCATTGAAGATTATCAAATAACATTCACAATATTGTCAAAATAATTTATTTAAAATACAGTTTTTTTTATATTGATACTTAATGTTGTTATAAAAATTGYTATTATCATAGTCATAATGTACTTCATAACTTATATAGYCTGCACTTAAGGTTAGTAAACATAAAATTAAATAAAAAAATATGTAAGGAATAGAATACTTTGTTTACAATTAACAACCCTATTTGRAATATAAATTCTTGCAATACAGTTTCTTGACCTTGAAACTTAAATATTTTTAAAATTTAATTCGGCGAAGACAATTTACATCTGAAAAAAAAATTTTAATACATGGTACTTGTATAATGTTAGAACTAGTAATTCATTGACATTAATAAACAATATTCAAAATGAATTAACAAATAATACTGTCCATTTAGTATCAATTTTAACCAAAAAGATAGATTGATGGAAACATTTTATGATAACATAAATATCTACAAGGATTATAATCACAAAATTCTATTTTGCTAACCATGTACATTTAAGTGCAATGTGTGTGTTGTTTAGTTTGTTATTATGTACTTAATATTCGGGTATTTGTGTTAAGTCACTTAAATAGTTAATTGGTGACCATTTGATAAACATACACGCTACAAGTATTATTGGACAAAGTAATTAAATATGATTGTCAAGACGCTTATAATAGTTGTTTAAGAATGAAATTGTCATGCACAGAAAATAATATTTGTTTTTTAAAACAAGTTTAAGGCTAGATTTATTCTTAGCCTATAGAAATTATTTTGAGTTTAGATTTGATTTCTTACAAAAAAATTAATAAAAATATCTTTTACTTCCATAGAAAGATAAAGATATAAATAAAATTGTAATGCGGGTTTTTAAAATTTACAAGAATATTGTAACCATCAAATGTATCATTTTACAATAAGTTATTGACAAAAAAAATGTAATTACAATAATAGAACTAACCTTTTTTTATGTGCATGCAAAGATTCTTGTCCACTATCTTCTTCACTAGAATTTCCATCATCAGAACTGCTAGAACTACTAGAACTACTTGAACAACTTGAACTGTCCGATGCAAGACCCGTATTGTTTTTTAAGTCAACAGAGTCCGCTACTATTGCTAAATCAGGTTCTTTGTTTTTCAACACTTTATACCACTTACGTGATAATTTTGGTCGTCCTCTAACTGTTTTGTGCCATACTACAGGAAAATTTGTACGGCTACAAAAATTTTGAGTTACTGCAATAGTTGTATCCAAATTAAGCACTACATGCCACCATCCACCGGGTACATAAACAGTTTCACCAGGCCCTTGAAGTATCTCTATCTAAATTTACAAGATATATTTTTAATATTTAAGGTAGATAAATATGTATTTACAAATTATGAATAATTTTTTTKTTTAGATGTAAAATATATAAATGTAAACTGTAAAGATACATAAAAATATCAAATTATAAAATCAAAACTAACTGGTGAGCATTCCTTAGGCCAAGTTGGTAACTGAGTACGAGGATAGATGATTTTAAACCAAGTTATAGCTTCATCACGTTGTTTACCTCCCTCAGCTGAAGTGACTTTAAGCAGTTCTTTAGGAGTATGAGTAGGAAACAAACACCATCTAATTGAACATTCCATAATTAATATGCTCATCATAAAAATAATTCAACAAATTTTACCTCTTGTGTCCGGTAATTAAAGAATTCCAGGCACTGGTACCTAATGGGTCTATGTGAATTCCAGTTCCCGATCTAGAAGGACCCATAACAAACCATCTGTATGGAGGTCTTTTTTTTTCACCTGCATATTTAAATAAGTCATCTTGAAAGTATATGGGTATGTCATAATCGTCCAACAATTTTTTTCTTCGGTGATGCTGTATACAAAATGTAATAATTAAATTTTTTATTAAATAATTATAGGTAAATCACAAATTAATAAATTCAATGTGTTTGTCTTGGTTAAAATAATTGTTAAACAGTTGATTTTTATACTTTTTAATTATTTGGCTAGGATATTAAATTTGTTTAGAAGTCTATTTTAAAGAGCTTTAACAGAAGACAATTGTAAGAATTGTTTTCTACATAATTATAAAGAACATAAAGAGGAAGTGTACATGTTGTTAAGGCAAGAAAATTTTTTATTGTTACCATGCTGCATATGATTATAAGAAGCATATTTTCCTTGAACTATCATATTATATATAGCAGAGGTATTCAAACTTTTTCATCCTACGGCTCTTTTGGATGGTCACAACATTTTGACAAATCCCAAATTATTTAAAAATTGAAACAACACACGGCAAATATATTATATGAGTGATAATAACATTAGTACTAAAAATAAAACTTCAAATGGTCACGTGTCACGTCGTAAAGTGTGTCGTTTTCATTTCCATAATGATTGCAAATAATATTTATAATAATTATACAAGACCAGGGTATGAGGTTGGTTTCCGGTGCTTAGGCGTGGTTTCTTTTGCAAATTCTCTAGACGTACAGTTTGAATACCTCTGTTATATCTTATATAGTACAGAGTTTACATGTTAATTGAAAACATAAATATAACTTACATCACCATAACTACTGTCAAATATATACAAAGGACTGTCGTCTTTATTATTATTCATATAATGAACAAAATATTTCATTTTCATCTTAACACTGTATCCTTGATTGTCTTCACCACATTTAAATCTTTGATTACGGTATTTTTTTCCTATTCTCTAATTGAAACAAAAAAAAAAGTTGAAACTATAACACTAAAAATAAACCAAATATTATAATATACTTCTAATGTCCATTTATAAGATGCTCTCCAATTATTTTGTAGTCCTCTTATAACAACTGGTTTATAGGGTCTTTCATATTTCTCCACAAATACTTCGGGACTCACACTTTCTACATCAATGCGATCTACATTATCATGTACTATTGTAAAAGGCTTAAAATTGTCAGCATAACCAAGAGCATGCCATGCATATTTATCACTCAGTTCTAAAAAAAATAAATTGCAAATTGTTAATATCATGCTTAACCTAAGACATTGTATAAACTACAATGTACTCATTGATTTGCTGAACACCATTTTTCTTTTGCTGTTATGTTTTGGTTGATTATCTAAAGGAGCAGTTTTAAATTCAGACAAATACAATAGGTAAATTTTAAACTTTGATAATAATTATTGATTAATAAAGAACAATTATTTTTAAGATTATTATTATTTGTAGACAAAAAATGAATTGTATTCACCAACAAGTAAAAATATTCAAATAATCGAATTTTTTTAAGTGAGCGTTACCTAATTCAAGTTAAATAAATTTGAAATGATAAATGAATAAGCAATAATGTAGTTAAAATAAAAGATCTGTAATACCAATGTTTTAAGTACATGATCGATTATTTTTTAAAAATATAAATTTATTTTTAAAAAAAAATGTGAAGTGTTAAACTGAAACTTTTTATTATAAGGTTTACACATCATTATACAGCTTAGGTATGTTTCTAATTAATTCTCAATACCTGGTCTAGCTTTATTCTTAGCTTCTTGTATCCTCTTCCTGGTTCTGGATTCCGAGCTATTTGAAGAATCACTCATTATGTACTAATATTTAATTATTTTTTTTGCTGCACAAAATTTTTTACTTAAAAATGTACTAAAAATAGTCGGCAGTAAAAATAATTCTAACAATAATAACTTGAGCTTCTGACTGGTATGCGTTACAAAAATGTAATTTTATCTGGATCAAAATACTGTAACTAAAAAGTAAAAATTAATATTCAGATTGTGTCTAATATAGTAATATAATATTAAACATTGTAATAATTGTTATGGTATAACAAATTACAAAAATAAAAATTTGTAAATTACAACTTTTGAGTAATGTCAGTATTGACTATTGAGTCTGAGTTATCAAGTTTTAATTTGAAATAAGAACATAACCTTATATTTTAAGACTTACCTTATCCATATAAGATAGAACAATGCCTTATCGGATTCGATTCAACCACCAAATATGTTTATATATATATATACGTCCGTGCACCAAATTAAACTTAACGGCTTCAAAGAGATTACATTGATAATGACCACGGAAAAAGATAATACTGTTATGTAAATATTATACTATTTTTATTTATCGTGCATAAAATTCTCTTGAAATGTCTGACGAGGAAAACGATCGTTTTGAAGAAGAACAAAGTTTGTTAACTGACAATATTGAAAGTATACCGCATACACCAAGTGCTTGGGAACAAGATATATACGATGTTGATGAAGATCCTGACCCCCATGGTAAGAATATTAACAATAATGTTTGATTTTGAGTCTTAATATTAGTTTGAAAAATGGATGTTGTAGACATTTTTAAACATGTACAATTCTTTCTTAAAAGATTGTTAGTTTTTCTTTTTCACATTCTCACCATTTATTTAATACAATTTGAATTAAAGCTTATTTGATACCGCATAAGCAGTATTAAAATAAATTCAGATTATAAGCCAAACCAAATAAGTAATTTTTTTAATTATTGATATTTTAAATTTATATATAATTAGCTACCCCAGAAAGGAAAATTTTATGGGCGGCTGAACAAGGTGAATTGGATATAGTCAAGTCTTTGGTATCAAAACATACTCACTTGGTTCATATTCATGATAAAGATGGTTATACAGCTTTACACAGGGCGTGCTATAGTAATCATCTATCAATTGTTGAGGTATTCTTAAGATATATCTATTATGTTTATTAAGCTTTCACTTTATTTACCTATATATATATATATATAGTTTTTATTGGAAAATCATGCAAATCCAAATGCTCGAACAGCAGATCAATGGACACCATTGCATTCTGCTTGTAAATGGAATAATGTGGAATGTGCTGAAAAATTAATAGAAGCTGGGACTGACATAAACGCTTTAACTAATGGCGGTAATTGTTTAATTACAAATTAATAACAAATATCAAAATATGAATTTATACACATATATCTATTTAAATTACACAATATTTTTACAGGAATAACACCTCTACATTTAGTAGCAGAGTTGGCTGATTCACATGGTCTCCTTGAACTTTTATTGTCTCAACCTAGTATTCAGCCAAACATTAAACTAACAAACAGTACAGGTGATACACCAAAAGATATTACTGGTCGTAAGAGTACGAATGATCGGCTTTTTGAATACTCTGAACCATGTTTCAATTACATATGAATTGAATAATTATTCGGACCAAAGACTAATACAAGGTCCACATGATGCTACTAGTACTTTTTTACTGGGATGTGTACTAATCGAATTGATGGACTGTGTGTATGAAACATTTCCATTAGGTTTTAACTTCTCTATAAGTTTTGCACTGACAAAATCCCAACACCACAGATGTCCACAGGTTGATCCACTTATTATTATGCTATCGTTATGAAATACACAGTTTTCAATAAAATAATCACCGACTGTATGACCTGTGTACCTGTGTTAAACATTATTATATAAATTATAATATATAATATTATCATATGAAAATGTTGTTGGAAACAATTAAAACCTAAAACAAAATGTCATACTCATTTAATAATTCTCCTTTTTGTCTGTCCATTAACTTCAATGTACTGTCTGTACAGCTAACTAATGTGCACATATTGTCTTGTGTTGAACTGATACATGATATTGGCTCTATAAGCATAACATTTTAATATGCATGGTTATAATTTTTAATATAAATTACAAGAATAATAAATTTATTTACTTCCAATAAAATCAGCGTCCAAATTTCCCATTCTTATGTCATAAGTTCTTAAAAAACAATCTAAGGATCCTGTTAGAATTTGATTGCTTGTCACCAAAACTTTAGTAATACTATCTTTGGCTTCTTTTAAAACCTATAATAGTTGTACAACTATTTAAATACAGATCTTTTAAAATTTAATAATTTTAAACATATTATTTTATTTTCTAATTATCATAACTGAGAAAAATAAAAATAAATATTTTATTAGATAAACAAAAATTAACATTTATTTAGTTGTTAAAATTCATGTCTATTATTTTTATACTGGTTTTTAATGTAATCATTAAAATTATAAATAAATTAACTTTTTTGTAAAACAATTTTATTAATTTTTTTCATTGGACTAAAATAATAAGATATTAATTAAGTAATCTACTTCAGGTATATTAATTATGCAATAAGAAAGTTAATATTATGATCTAAAAAATAGCATAAAACTATTAAGAAAAAATAATGAAACTTAGACAAATGGTTGAAATAAATATATTACTTGTATTGGGCTATTATTACGACTTCTAGTATCCCAACAACAAACAGTGTTGTCATTTGATCCTGACACCACAACTGAAGAATCTTCATTATATACAACACAATTCACTGCAGCAGCATGCTGCCGTAATCTGCGTTTTACTCTCCCATCAGACACATCCCATAACACAACTGATTTGTCAGCTCCACATGATGCCAACTCACTTGAAAAAAAAAAGTTTAAATGTATTTGATTTCGTAAATAAGCACTGACATTTTCATCAAAACTATATGCAAATCTAGGCACCTGCTATCACATGAGCCACATGCATCCATTACACAGTCTCCATGGCCAGCATAGGTTTTCAAACATAATTCCTTGAATGGATTCCAGAGTTTGATTTTCTTGTCACTACCACAAGTAAGACAATATTCACCKTCCACTAAATAAAAAAACTACACTCAGCTATACAAAATCTAACAAGTAGTCTCAATAATATACTTTACCATTAAACCTTACAGAGCGTATCGCTCCTTGGTCACATTTTATATTCGATATACATTTCAAATCCATTTCACAGGTTCTTGAAATTTACTGAAACTGAAATAAACAATTAGAACACAGAAACGTCAGAAACTTCGACAATCATTACTTGTTTTGTAAACACGGCGGAATCTTTATTCGTTACCGGTAGCATTACGAGATAAGTTGATAACATGGTTATCAAGAGTAGATAACAATATAATTATTGTCCCTYCCACAGACATTTAATTGTAATATAATTCTATTATATTTATATGTCTATGGTCCCACCTAAACAATAATAAAGCATGACGGTCCCAGTTCACAGACTACTACACAAACTGGATGAGGTACTCTTATATTATTTGCATATTGCATTGTTATTAAGTGATGCTCGCACGGGGAAGATCGCCGTTATGTTGGTTGGTAGTTGGTATACACAAAATGTATAAGGAATAAATGGAATTATATATTTTTTAAAGGTGAAATAAAAGAATAATGACAAAATGATCTATATAAAATAATTTTTTTCGTTACAAACAGAATGTCTAAAAATAATAAAATACAATACATCATAAATTAATATTTACCATAAATACATAATATTATATGATATACCATACTATTTGCCATTCAAGAAAATGGCGGAACCCGGCTTCAACTAATTCCCAGAGTTTCTTATCTAGTTAAAGTTTAGAATTAGAAATCTGTGATGACATCATATAATATAACCTATTTATGAAAAAATACTATACTAGATACATTGATTTATATAACAAATTTTTCCTGSGATTTAAGGACCTGGTTTTATATGATCGGTACATTACTAAAATATTATATTTAATACGTTGGTATAGTTCACCCAGAGCCCGTGTCGCCTAAAAGTTACGTTTAGATGCAGTATACATTAGACATTAGTCAAGATGTTAAAGTTAACATCTGTTTTGTATGCCTTTTGATTTGTATTATAAACATAAATTGTATTGTAAAATAAAGTAGGTATTTATCATAAAAAATATTGTAAATATTGTAGAATTTTACTTAATGTTACTAACAATGGGTATAGCTTTGTTTTATTATTTATAGTGTATAATAAAGAGGATGCTACACCTGCATGTGTTATTCTTATTTACGCCTTACAAGTGCATAACATCGCAAATTTTACACTCAGTATATAACATTTAGCTCCGTTAGTTTAAAATTTAGAATGAATTGACTTATAAAATACAGTTAGAATTATAATCGTTAGTACTTTTTATAACTAATCATTACTCTTTTGTACATTTAACATTACCACAGTATGACTTTCTTTCCACTCAAATATTATTTTTATCAATATGCATATATAAATATTAAAAATCAAATTATATGATATAATATTAAAAATTAAATAAATAATGTTACAGCAATATAGGTACAGAACTACAGAACCACAGAAGTTATGAACGAAAAATATAAATAAATATAGAATGTAACTTTATAGAAATAAAAGGTATGTATAACACAATTAAATTATGATTTAGGATGMATTTTAACAAAATATTGATACAACATTGATTTAAAATGAATAATAAATATTGTAAGTCCATCAAAATACATTTTTAACAATTTTTAACAATTGTTTAAATATAAAATTAAATTGTAATTGTTAATGTATTTTGTAATAGCACCTGTGCTGAAACATTTTAAAATATTAATAAATAAAAAAAATAAAAAAACATTGTTAAATAGCGTTAAAATAGATTTCAGTCTTATATTGTAATATATCTATCGTAAATTTTTGAACTAAGATTAAGTTGTTCATTCAGATTAAACTACCAAAAATCGATTAAAAATGAGTATTAATAATGAACACGATTTAAGATAATATACTGGTTACACATCGAATTATAATATAAGGAGACCGTCTAACTGAATCCCTATATTAGCTGTGAAACTACTGACTGGCGCAATCTAGCGATAAATGTATTCAACCGATATATAGAAAAGTATATCTGTATATTGCGGGACATCGTTATAAATGTTACAAAAGTACGTTTTGGATTGTTGAGTTTCCAACTAAATTCTGCTATATGGCGCCAATCAGTAGTTCCATAGCTGATTTGGAGACTCAGACAACCAATACCTCAGCCATCAGTCAGAAGAAAGAGCCAAGGAGAACCGTGAGTCCAAATAATTAAAAACTATCAAAGCATCTTTTCCTTATTATATGTGTTTTTTAGTAAATGTCAAATCACCACTGTGTGATGTAATTATTAAAAGAAAAATATTGTCATCTAATAAATATTTAATGTGTGTATTTCAATAAAAATATTACAGTAGGGTCTCGATTATCCGAACACAGGCTAATC